ACCTTGGCAAATAAGACAGAAGCAGGTTTAGCACTTTTGGTTGCTTAAAGATATAAATATTTATTGCCTATCTGACTTTACCAGAAATTCATCTGCTTTCTCTCTCTCTCTCTCTCTCTCTCTCTCTCTCTCTCTCTCTCTCTCTCTCTCTCCCCCCCCCCCCCACACACACACACACACACACCTACCTTACATTGCTATTATCTTTGTTCTTAATGCCTCAGTCTTACAGACAGAAGCCCAGGTCCTGAAGGTGCTCTCCGTGGTTCTGAAATCAGGCACTCATTCAACCCTTAACACTACTGTTGGTTAGGTGATGCCCTAGGAAATATATGTGATGGTTTGGTGTCAGATTTGTGTGTGTGTGTGTGTGTGTGTGTGTGTTTTCATAGAAATCCTAATGACCTGCCTCCCTTTTGGGGTTCCAGTAGTCATAAGCAGTAATGTCTTAGGTTGGATTAACCAAAAACAATTCATGTAATAATAATAAAAAAGAACTGTCCGAAGGGATCACTCCTCCCTTTTCACCAGTTCAGTTAGTGCAACTCATATAAACCTCCTTGTCAGGCACAGAGCATACATCCATGATTATCCCTATCTTGCTATCCTTGCTTCTAAAAACTTTGTAGGCTTCTCTGAGACACCTCACAAACTTCTTAAAGATTGCCACTTTCTGGTAGGGTGCTCATTTAAATGAGAATGATCTGGTTGGCTACCGTTTGGATAGTCATCATCAATCAGAATGCTATCTAGCCCGAACTTTGAAACAATCCCAGTATGTTGAATAGACAAAAGGTGGCTTTTTTTGGTACCTATTTATGAACATCCTGTATACACACATCTTAAGTGGCCCACAATAGCTCTGTTGGTGAGACCAATATAGGTCCTTCAATCTTTCCATAATGTTTTTAATCATAAGCTTTGAGGCAATTGTTTCTACCTCAAAATTCTTAAAAATCTTTTATGGGATAGAAACAAGAGATTAATGGAGATCTTGCAAAAAAAGATAAATGGCACCACCGGAATACTACAAAACTGGGGAAAAATTAATTGAACCTATACTTTTGATAAATATTTATTTTTTGCAGAAGAAAAATGCATACTAGTTTAAGCTGTCATTATACTAACCTACATCCTATTTTTCATATTATTAGTAATACATAATGCGGTAGTTTATATTCAAAAATAAAACTAGAATGTATATACCTCATGTATTTATCCAGAAATACGCCAAGGTTACTATGGTTACGAAAAATCCATTACCTTTGAATACAGAATGAAAAAAGTTTGACTTAAAGTGTGTGCTATTTATTATAGCAAACATCAACAGCCTTCGGGAGGTTCCCTAACTGGACTCATTTTTCAGTGTCATGAGTGACCCACCATACTACTAGCTTATGGCCTATGCAAGGCAAAAAATCTGAACTGTATGCATTTTTAAATATATTTTGTACTAACTCAAGGTGCAGCAATGCCTTTGACTTTTAATGCTTCCTATTTAAGAGGAAGAAGAAAAAAATTTTCAACCACCTAGACGTTAAGTGGCTTCTGAATTGAAGGGCATCTCATTTACTCTACCTACACCCGCCATGGCTGTGAGAACCATTGGCTACGCAACACAGAAGAATGTTGGTTCTCTGCAGAAACTTTAAAGGAAGCTACAAGGAAATGAAGTAGGAGTAAGAAAAAAAATGCTGACACTTTGAACACTGAGGGGAGCTTAAGCCAAGGTATCAAGGAAGTTTTGATAGCACAGAAGGTAAAGAATGTTAAATGGTGCAGATGACTGTAACCAGGAAAAACAGGATATGAAATGTTGCTCTTGAAGAAGTTTTAACATATTTCTAGCTACACTGAGTTTTCTCTCATCTAGACTGTGATCAGATACATTAAGGCAAAAGATGATTGACTAATAATTATGCAGTATTCCCTATAACTAGTAGCTAAATGTGCAAATGAAAATAAATTTTCACTTGTAACATTATCAAAAATGTAAGAATATAACATTCACTGCTGATGAATGATGCAAAATATTAAGAGTTTCTACCAGTATGGTAAGATGGTCATATGGTTGGATGATCTTCAATAGCATTTATAACTTTTCATAATTAAAAACAGTATCATTTTTAGCTAGACTGTGGCTTCCACTCAATCTTTTCCTGAATTGACATTTCACGCTGTCGAAGTCCATTTGAGAGGCCCCAAACTCTCACTATTGCTGACAGCCCCAGCCCTCACAACTACAAGTTCAACCCACGAACCAGTCATCGTGGAAAAGATCTGAGGTCACAAATATCCTGACACAAAGACAAGCAGCAAGTGTCAACAGCATCACGGGCACGGGTTATGATGCAACATGACATGTAGTTCAAGTGTCTGCAGAGGCTAAAGCCCACCTCAATGTCAGCCTTCTCCCGGCCGCCTCAGACGCAATCCCTTTCCCATGCTGCCTTCTCTGGGGCTCCTGGTGGAAGCTTGGAAGATACACATGACCTGTGTTCAGTACCTGTCACAGGTGTAACATCTTAGAGTTGAAAGGGATCTTTAGCACCATGTTATTTGGTGGTCGTGTCACTGGAGAATTTCTGGGAAAGTAGGCGCTCAGCCTCTGCCAACAGTAGACAAAGCACTCACTGTCTGTACTGTTACAGACTCACTTGCATTCCCCCAAATTTACATGTTGGAGCCTTAAACTCCAATGTGACTAAATTTACAGGTAGGGATTTTATTATTATTATTATTATTATTATTATTATTTAATATTTTTATTGATTTCAGAGAGGAAGGGAGAGGTAGAGAGAGAAACATCAATAATGAGAGAGAATCGTGGATCGGCTCCCTCCTGCATGCCCCCTACTGGGGATCGAGCCCACAATCTGGCCATGTGCTTTGACTGGGTCTCAAATGGTGACATCCTGGTTCATAGGTTGACACTCAACCACTGAGCCACACCAGCTGGGCTAAAGGCAGGGCTTTTAAAGAGATGATTAAGGTTAAGTGAGGCCATAAGGGTAGGGACCTAATCCAATAGGACAGTGTCCTTACAAGAAGACACAACGGGGGTGGGGGGTGCCAGAAGAAAGACCATGTGAGGACACAGCGAGAAGGCAGCTGTCTGCAAGCCAAGGAGAGAGGCCTCAAGAGAAACCAAACCTGCCAACACCTGGATCTCACACTCCCTGCCTCCAGAACTGTGAGAAAAAAATTCTATTGTCTAAACAAGTTCCTGGTGTGTTTTCATTTCTTCTGAAGTAATTTCTGTGGTCTACAGTTTTTAGTTAACACCTTCAGATGTTGTTAGGACACAGTTAATCTATTCTTTTAGTTTCTCATATAAACTCTGCTTTTAACTGGAAATAATTATTATTCATCTTACTAAGTGCTACGAAAGTGCTAGATGTTGTATACATGGCTCTAGGTTTCTTAAAAATCTTGAAAATTGTACATTTTCCATTTTACAGGCTCAGAACCTAAGCCTCAGCGAAGTTAAGTAACTTGCTGAAGACCCCATTTTCTCCTCATCATAGCCAGAGTAGTCTGAGTTGATATAAATGTCTACCACTCACAGACCCTGAGACCTTGAGGAAGTTACTTAATCTTGTTACGCCTCAGTTTCCTCATCTGTGAAATGGGGGCAATGATAATATCTACCTCACAGAAGAAGCATTACAGAATTCTATCCAACCACAATGAACACAACAGAAAAGCAACTGTTCTTGTCCTTTGAAAGTTCTCGGACTAGAGGGGACACAAGGATGAAAACCCTGGGAATGCATTTGCGGGAATGCCACAGCCCTGTCCACAAACACCTCTCATCTGCATCTGTGTGCATCCCCAGGAGGTCACAAGCACAAGAGACAGGAGGGACCAGGCCTGACCGATTCCCTCCCAGCCTCTGTTCGGGTCACTGATGTGAAGGAGTGAACGCATCCATGGTCCATGGTTAACCCTGCCTTTGACTCTAGCTTATGAAACCTTTCATGGGCCTCAGGTTTTTATAAGTCAATATTTGATTAATAATGTCTCACTTGATAAATAAATGCAATACTATAAAATATAAACTCCATAATTAACACAAAAATATATTATTATACATTATATAGCATGTCTTATATAACATGTATTATAATTCGCTATGTTATAGATTATGACATATATAACATTCACATTCATTGAGCAGTGGACATTGGTTTTCAGTTGTTACGCATCCAATCTTTCATGCTCACTCTTTTCTATGAGTTTTTGATCTGCCCTTTGAGGGGCAGCCCTATTGTATGTGGTTTCTAATACCAGACAACATACATACTGTAAGCCTCTTGTGTCTCACGAGGTTTTCAACAATTCATTTTCCTTCAGTGTCCTTACACTTTAATCTGGGCATCGATATTAAGTTTTTTTCTCAAATTGTCTAAAATTCAGACACCACTGAACTGAGTCAAACTTCTGAGTCTTAAGGGTAGTCCACATTCATGTGGATTTCATCGTAGTTATCACATGTGACAGTGGAATCTGTTCGAAATGACATCACTGACTCAATCACATGGTTGGGGACCATGTGGGGCCCAGCTTCATCCCTGTGATCGGTGGAGGCAGAGGAGTCATATCTTAGCTCTGTGTGTTGATGTATCTCCAAGGGCCCCTCTGCGCCTGAGCACAGGTATATCCATAGACGGACAGGTGAGGAGTGATGGGCTCTACCGTAAAGCATGCGCAGTAGGACAGCCTCAGGTGAAGGGGGGGGCAGCAGGAGCTCTTTCCCATGAGTTCAGCGTTGGCTTCACCAGAAATGTGATGTGACCATAAAAATTAGGGAATTTTAGTGGCTCAACAAAATCACCAACCCAATTTTTAAAACCAGTCTCAGATTACTATTGATTATTGTTATCTGAAATACATGTAAATATACACACACACTCTCTCTAGTCTGCAACGATATAAAATATATACATAGTATTCTAATACAGACTATCATAATCTACTGACATGCATAGAGGTCTTACCTGTGGCTGTGTAGCTCTCTCCGATGCCTGAATAGATTCGCATCCCGTCCATATACAAAGAGTACTGAGTGATGACACCATTCGCTTTTTTGGGAGGATTCCAGGAGAGGAACAACGAATTGGGAAGGGATTTGGCTACTGGTGCCTGAACCTCTTGTGGGGCTGTGGGGAGAAAAAAAGATTTACAGAGTCTAAGTTTACTTTTCTCATTCAAACTTTTCAGACCCAGACCAATATATCATGGAATAAACCCGAAATCCCACGCATGGGCATGGTCCTGATCCGTAACTGCTTGAGGAATAGAACTAAATAACTATCCTGTATTGATGAGAATTTGCATCAACGATGGATGGGAAGATTTCTCATGGTTCACTGGACTGACGTGTTACTTCGTCAAAGGTATTATTGGCCCATAATCTCTACCTGGGGGCCGTGTGATTAAAGCAAATTAGATAGGTAAGTCCCTGCCCTCCAGGAGCTTTTGATCTAAGCTGGACCATGCTGGTCCGAGTGGTTTGTGACAGATATGAGAAGTGTATGTGTAACCACTGAAACAGGCAGAAAGTGCAGAAGCAATTTAATTAGTTCGGTATGGAAACTACATTGTGTGCAAGTCTTTTTTTAAAATGGGGTTTGTTGATTTTCTGTAATGGTCAGTGAACTAGAGTCACAGGAACTAAAAGCTTTTAAAATTTTATCCTACACATACCTATTGCTTGGTAAATTGGCAATAAAGTTATTTTTTTTATTTACTGACTTGAGAGAGAGAGAAGGCGGGTGGGAGAGGGAGAGAAGGAAAAAGAGAGAGAGATTTGTTCCTCTTATCTACTCATTCATTGGTTGATTTTTGTATGTGCCCTGACCAGGGATAGAACCTGCAACCTTGGCGTATCGGGAACTCACTGTAAGCAACTGAGCTATCCGGCCAGGGTGGCAATACACTTAAAGAAAAACTGGAAATCAGGAATTCCTTAAATCCTAGAAAAGAAGTAAATGATGAACTGGGTGAACAGAAATCTCACTGGGGTGCGGCTGCCAGGTAGACTTGAAGGGAACCAGGAGAACCTGGACAGAGGACGTAGTGGACGTGGAGAAAACAACAAGAGAGAGAGAGAGGACAATCTGCCCCACACGGAAGCGGTGGCCATGTGTGAGAGGATGACCATGTGCCCAGCAGAAGCGATGGCCCATTAAGAAGTATTGCTATTCTCAGTGGACCAGACAGAGAGAACATCGAGAAAATGCGGAAGATGGGTCCTGATGGCTAGTCCAGGTGAGGGGGGTCGGGTTAGGTCAGGTGTATAGCGCGGAGAATAGAGGGTGACAAGAAGGATTTCACACAAAGTCCTTTATTCTGTCACGGTGCCAGGGTATGGGCACCGTCCTTAGGTTACATTCCTTTTGTGTAAGAGGCACCCGCTACACAATAGAAAAGAATGCCTGGGCCCTAGCCGGTTTGGCTCAATGAACAGAGCGCCTGCCCATGGACTGAAGAGTCCCAGGTTGAAATCCGGTCAAGGGCATGTACCTCGGTTGCAGGCTTGATCCCCAGCCCTGGGTCGGGGTGCATGCAGGAGGCAACCAATCAATGTGTCTCTGTCACATTGATATTTCTCTGTGTGTCTCTCCCCATTCCTTCCACTCTCTCTAAAAAAAAAAATCAATGGAAAAATATCCTTGAGTGAGGATTAACACCAACCAAAGAAAAGAAGGCCTGGGAAGAAGAGTGAGAAAGGGGGTGGATGGATGCTGGAAAAGAGACAGACTGACTCTTGCCCCCTGAAGATCAAGCTTGGAAGGCTCCTAAGTAACGTGATAAGCAGACAGTAAAGGAACACACGCTCCCCCTCACCGGGAGAGAGGAACAGGAACTAACGGGGCCTCCGAGTGCTGAGAGTGGTTACTCCCTGAAGTGACGCGCTCTGATGTCTGAGCAAAGCTTTCCCTTCGGAGCGCTAAAATCTCTCCTTTCCCGCTGCCTCCTTCCCATGTGCTTTCTGAAACAGTCATGTATGCCAACAGTGTGCAGGTTCCGAGCAAACAGGAGCGAGACCGAGGTCGAAGGAACGGAGCAGTGATTAGGAATGCCTCCGCTGGCCTTAGGAGGTCCCATCGCGGGGAAACAATTGTTGCCTGTGCTGGTGTTGAGCAGTTAAGAGAGACCGTGGAAATCAACCCTTTGGTTCTCAATTTCATACGGAGCCATACAATCAATTCTTTTTAGTCAGACTGTCTCTAGATTTACTTCTGAGCCATAGTAAAATGAGGAAGCTTTCATTAATCTTTCAGATGCTTCATATTAATGACAAGGCTCTTGCATGAACAATGTAACAGCAATTAAAAAGCCCATTAATCTGCATTACAGCTATTAAAGATGCATGTCATTAAAGGGTATGGAGTTTGATTCATTTTCACACCACCCCCCAAAAATGGAGCAATTATGGCCTGGCAATGCACTTTGTCATCAAATTAGGTTGGGGTTTTCCAGCAAATGGCCTTGCAGCATTTAGCTCTTCTCCTATTTTATTATTCATGACTGAAATGTGGAAGTCAAGACCTTTGAAATTACTTTACCTTCTTGTGGAGTAGAGATGTTCAGTGCACGCGAGCTCTCGGTGCAGCCGGCCAGAGTGCAGGCAGCGAGGGTCACCGCATAGTTTCTGAAGGGGAGCAAGCCTGTCAGCACGCCTGCAAGAAAGGAGGAAAGAGGTTCGCATGTTTACTGTCAGCTGCTATAAGGAATATGATTGGTGTGTGTGTGTGTGTGTGTGTGTGTGTGTGTGTGAGAGAGAGAGAGAGAGAGAGAGAGAGAGAGAGAGGTGGAGACACAGGCATCAAGAGATAAAAAAACAAAAACATATGCCTCTCTCCTTCATCTTCCTGCCCGTGTGCTCACTGCAGAATGGAATGACCAGTGAAGAAAACGTGAGACCAACATATTGTTCAGACAGCTCTAAACTGTATCTGATGTGGCCTGAGATACTTCCCCCGGAGAATGGGGGTGCCTCATAGAGTTCGGGCAAGCAGAGCCTAGCATATCCAGTAGTTGAGAGGTGTATAGTATACTACCCCATTCCAGGAGCCCGGACCTCCCGCGGAGGCAAAACTGTCATTTCCTTCAACCTAGCATTTTGCAATCATATTTCACTGGAATCCTTTGTATGCACCCCAACTCTTACCACACTTCAGGAAATGCTACTCCCAAGAGTGGCTTCACTGTCTCAATGGTAAGATACACACATGCAAACTATTAATTCATCTTGTAACTACCAAGCCTACAGAGGTTAGTTCCCTTTGCTCATGATTTGCTTTATGTGGCATATGGGGGCTGCACCAGGATGGATTAAAGTTGCCACTTTAATAAAAGTTCTGCAATTGCCAAAGAAAGAGAACACGGGCATTCTCTCCAAGACTGAGGAAGGTAGGCCTTCTTGGATGTATGCCTAGAGATCGTTGAGCGATTGACCTGATGGCCTTGCTTTAAGCGTCAGAATCAAGCTCACATTATATACTCTCCAGGAAGAAAAGGAGCACTACCGTGATAATATATCATCATCAAAAAGCATTGATCAATTTTTCTTCTACACACCCCTGGGAAGGGTGCCTTGGAATATTGGAATATAACTGATCTCTAGGAGGTTCCTATCATTATCCTTTTTTAATCCTCTCACGAGGACATTTTTTTCCACCACTTTTCTGAGAGTGGAAGGGCTGGTGGGAGGAGGGGAGGGAGAGAGAGAGAGAGAGAAACATTGATGAGAGAGAGACATAGCGATTGGTTGCCTCCTGCACGTCCCTCAACAGGGGCTGGGGATCAAACTTGCAACCCAAGTATGTGACCTTGACTGGGAATTGAACCCATGACCTTCGGTCTGAGGTCCGAGACTCTAACCACTAACCCAAACCAGCTAGGGTTCTAGGAGGTTTCTAATCTAAGAAAATATTAGCGCTCGAAGGACCCTAAGAATAACAGTAACACAAAATAAATAACAGTAATATATAGATTAATACATGAGACCAAATGCCTGCATGTACTCAAGGGAACAAGGCATTTATAAGATCTGACTTCCCAATCCCAGGTGATAGGAGATCTACACTTCAGAGAAAAAAGAGACAATCATTGAAAAGTATATTTCAGTAGATATTTAAAAATAGTGAAAAATATATAGCGTTACATACTTATAAAGGAATCCTAGACATAAAAACGCATCATTCTGTGTGCACAGAAAACCCAGTAAGAGAACGTGGCGAAGTCTCCCTTTATGACCCTTGGGGCGTTCACAACAAAGAAGAACCCCCTGACGGTGAGAACTTCCAAGACTGGCTGGGACTTAAACCTCTTTCTTTGGGAAACATCACAGAGCAGACTCTTCCCTTTGAACCTAAGACCATCGCTACCCCGAGGCAGGCCAGATGAGCCCTCCGATGCCCTGTCAGTCACAGAACTCTGCGACATGAGAAAATGGTCCCCACGACGTCAGGAAAACCGCCAGTCCCTTTTGATAATGGAAGAGGGCGAGTTGGAAAAACCCTTCAGTAAGCAAGAAGTCGGCATTATTGATGTCTTAAAAGTGTTAGCATCCCATGGAACACAGCCATGTTGGTGTCCCGATGAAACCACTGGCACCGACGGCCCCAGAACGCTCAGGGCGAAGCGATAATGCACTCTGCGTTAATGCTCAGCATTGAGAATCCCGCCCTGCCACCAAGGGAGCGGGAAGGAAACTTAAGTCTATCCCCTCTGACACGCAGGCCGGTGGGTGCAGAAAGCCCGGCTGAGAGAGGGGGCAGGCACCGGACTGAGGGGAGGAAGTCTGAGAGCCCAGGTCAGTGTGCCACACCCGTGTTCTGAGGACTTCCTCCCCTTAGAGGGGAAGGGCCCTACCGGAGAACCTTGTCCCGTTAAAGCCCTTCTCAATGACTCGGGGGAGCTCCCTGAACGCAAAGAGTATGTCCCTTTACGTCTTTATTTGCCCTATTACCCAGCAGCTATCATGGTCATTTACCAAAAGTGGACACTCGATGTTTGACCAAAAAAATGAAGACTTCTCACCTTCCTTCTCACTAGAAGAGGAAGCCTACCCTCTCCCCGCTTCTCCAGGGACCCAGCAAAGGATGAGACACTGTTTCTGTTGACCTAGAAGATTATTATTTCCAGCCTGGATGCTGTGGCTCAGTGGTTGAGCACTGACCTATGAACCAGGAGGTCAGGGTTGGATTCCCAGGTCAGGGCACATGCCCGGGCTGTGGGCTCGATCCCCTGTGTGGGGCGTGCAGGAGGCAGGCAATCACTGATGCTCTCTCATCATTGATGTTTCTCTCTTTCTCTCTCTCTCCTTTCCTCTCTGAAATCAATAAACATATTTTTAAAAAGATTATTTCCAGGGTTTCCTTTCCTTTGCTCTCACCTCAACTTTCAAAGGAGCTGAAGAGAGATATTAATAACTGGAGGCAGCTGGACGGCCTGGGAAAGTGGCCGAGGAGCCGACAGGAGCCATGGGGGCTTTGGTGCCTCTGTGTGTGTGTTTGGTTGGGGGCAGGAAGACCACCCAGGAGCCAGCCTGGACGTGGAGATGTGATCATGAACTCCTCCGACTCAACGAAGACAAGTTTAAATGCTCTGGAGACGCGGCATGAGACACACTGCAAAATGGCACCTTTTTAAAAAAAAAGCCAAAGGCACTGGGACAAGAAGCAGGGTCTCTGTTTCTATTTACACCCTTCAGAGCAGGCCCCGCCCCCGCCCTCCCCCAGCTGCCACCCGGGGTGTCTGGCCAGCATCCACTGTAATCTGTTCTCTTTCATTATGCTAATCTGTGGGCGGAAAGACTCCTGTCATCTCCGAATGGCTTGTATGGCAACGGTAAACACCTTGGCCTGTCTGTAATTGGACAGGTGTCTGCACTGATGTCACCAGCTTTTAATTCAATTAGAGAGCTGGCTGCTCTGTTCTCCTTACCCGCTCATTTCCCTCGCACCTTTAGTCTGGCGGGGAGAGCCGCACGCAGCCAGCGCCTACCCAGGGGCCAGGGGCTGGGGCAGCCTCGCAAAGATCATTTGCGATATTTCAAATAGACTCCAACAAGCCAGGAGTATTTCCATGTCCTCAGAGGCATCTGCAATAATTTGGAGACTTTGTGTTTCTCTCTCTCCCTCCCTCCTTCCCTGTACCCCTCCATGCCTTGAAGTGTTATATTATCTAAACACTGTCTTCTATCTACTGGCCGGTGGTAATTAGGAGCCATCACAGCAAACAGAAAAGCTGTTTCTGGCTTCCTCTCCCCAGGGCCCCGCTCCATCTCCAGAGAACCCATCAGAACACAATGCTCCTCTTTATTTGCTGGCATTTCACATTTGAATCAAGAAGGTGAGGCGAGCATTTATGAAGAGGGCCATCTGGTGAAGGGCACCCCCAGAGGAGCGGCCGCTGCCACCCGGAGACGGAACGCCAAGAGCCCACTTTTGGAAAGACAACCAGCTGGGGGGGGGGGGGGAGGAGAGCAGAAGAGCAGGAGCTGGCAGATTCTAATTTTTAAGAACACATCTCTGAAGAAGTTCGGAGCGGCACACCCCTCCAGGGTGGGGATTAAAGAGTAAATCAATCCAGGGTGCCTCGCTTCCTGCCCACTTCAAGGAAGCTCGGAGATAAATTAAAGTTCTAACACAGACATTTTGACACAGTGACCCCATGAAACTGAGTAACGACATTTGTTAAATATGGATGAAAATTTAACGGTCTAGCAGAGATGGGGAAACACACCCAGGTTGCTTCTCCTCTGGTTCTTAGCGGCCCAGGAAGCTGGCATCTGTTAATGGTTTTGTTTTTTCCCCTTGTGCTTTTGGTACTGTTTTAAAATAAAAATTAGGATCCCTAATATTTAGAAAACGAAAGTCAATTTTCATTTTAACCAAAAGGTGGAACACACAAAAGCACTCTCCCCAAACCTAAGGCAATTTTTTAAAAAACTCAAAAAACTCTTTTTTTTACATTTTATTTGCTTCAAATGGAGTTTGTGACCTTTAAATATTCTAGTAAGGAGTGAAGCAAATCATGTACCTTGAATCACAGGCTAAACAGATTTTGTTGCTTACAAATAGGAAAAAAATTTGCCTTACTCTTTTATTTTCTTTGTATAATACAGGGTCCAACCCCAGCTTAAAGAATGATTCAAACAATGATTTTTATTGACCTCAAAGCATTATCAAGTTAAGATTCTTTTAGTGGGCCCTAACTGGTTTGGCTCAGTGGATAAAGTTTTGGCCTGTAGACTGAAGGGTCCCAGGTTCGATTCCGGTCAAGGGCATGTACCTTGGTTGCGGGCACATCCCCAGTAGGGAGTGTGCAGGAGGCAGCTGATTGATGTTTCTCTCTCATTGATGTTTCTAACTCTCTATCCCTCTCCCCTCCTCTCTGAAAAAAAATCAATAAAATATATTTTAAAATAAATTCTCTTAGTGGGCTGACATCTAACCTCAGATTTGTAATCCGTGCCTTTGTGGTAGGAACTGCATTGTCTGTCCCTGTCCTTCTAATTCTGCAATAGGTTGGAGGCACCCACTCGTGTTAACTCTTTATCTAACTTAAAGGGTGGACACTGAAGTTACTAGGACTCTCCAAGAAAAGACAGGACTCCCTGCGCAGGGAGCCAGGCAGGGAGACAGAGGAAAGGAAAGAACCCGCGTCATCC